GAGCTGATGAGTTAGCCAAGGTCAGCCTGTCTTCAAACAAATTTTCATATGAAAGTAATATCCTATTTTATTAAGTCTTTTTTGAGATACATGCAAAAGCATGTTAATCAATACAAATACCCCTTCAAAAGTGCTTGTTATAAACTCTGTGACATAGATGGTATATCATAGACTCTGTAATATAGAGGGAGACAGCAAGTGTGGGCACCAGTGATGGAAACTCCTGACTTAGGGAGGACTTCATGATAAGGCAAAATGAATGTGAAAAAGGACCAATCAAAGAAAAATAATTGAGGATACAGAGTAGGAAACAGCTTTTAGAATAAGATATTAGAGGTACAAGAGCTTTACCTCAAAGTTTATTCATGTTGTGACATGTATCATTATTCTTCCTAATGACTAAATAGTATTCCACATTTGTTTACCTATTAGTTATTTGGCATTTGAGTTGTGTCTTATGTAGCAAGTCTTTCTTGTTGGACATACTTTGGACTGCCAGACCCCAAATAATGACACAAAGACTTATTATTAATTATGAAAGCTTGGCCTTTAGCTTAGGCTTGTTCCCAACTAGCTCTTATAAATGACCTGTTAATCCACATTTTGCCATGTGATTTTTTTTACCTCTCTTCCATTCTGTACATCTGACTTTCTCTGTGTCTTGCTGTGTCTCATGCTGCACCAGATTCTAACCCTGAGTTCCTCTCTCTTCCCAAAAGTCTTGCTTATTCTCACCTGCCTAGCTATTGGCCATTCATCTCTTCATTCGACCAGTCAGAGTCCTTCGGCAGGTGAAGCAAAACATAGACACATCTTCATGTAGTATAAACAAATATCCCACAACAGTCTTACTTAGGGTTTTATTGCTGTGAAGAGACAGCATGACCATGCCAACTCTTATAAAACATTTAATTGGTTTGGTTCATTGTCATCATGGCAGGAAGCATGGCAGCATGCAGGCAGACATGGTACTAGAGAGGCAGCTGAGAGTTCTGTATGTGACATGACAGGCAACAGGGAGAGAGAGTGACACTGGATTTGACTTGAACATTTGAAACCCCAAAGTCCACCCCTCGTGACACTACTTCAACAAGACCATATCTCCTAATAGTGCCACTTTCTATGAGCCTGTGGAGGCCATTTTCTTTCAAATCAGCACAATTTGCTTCTACTTTTTCAACATTATTAACACTATCACTGGTATGTAAGCTTCTGTGTGAACTTCCATTGTAACTTCTTGGATACACAACTAGAAGGAGAATTGCTGAGTCACATAAATGTCCCGTGTTTGCTTTCAGGAAGTACCAGACTTCTTTCTCATGTTACTGCAGCATTTTATATTTTCACCTGTAATGTGTTAAGCTGTTAGTTTTCCACATTCTCATCAGTGCTTTCTGTTGCCTGTTTTGGTTATAGTCACTCTAGATGTGAAGTGGTACCATGTGGTTTTGCATTTCTGTAATGAGTGAAGATGTCATCATGTCGTGCCCCACTGGCCATTTGCATGTGTTCACTTGGGATATATAAAACATCTTAAGAGGTTTTAGCTACCATGTGGGTTCGAGGATTGAACCCAGGCTGTCAGGTTTGGCAGCAAGCATCTTTACCTACTGAACCAAGTTACTGGCCTTCATTTTTATTTTAAATGGAACTTTACAGTTGGGCTTTAGTTCCTTCAACATTTTTGTGCTTCATATTGACCAAAGTCTTAAAAACTATTCCATCCTCATGCTGGTTAGTTTACTTATTTATCTTGGAGACTATGAAACAGTGTCACAGTTGTAAGACAATCCTGTGCGCAAGCTGTGCTTGGAGAGTATCAGTACCCCGAGCCCTCCTGCCATTTCCATTCACCTACCTCCTGTCAGCCCCGTGTCTCATTGCCTTCTGGTTTATTTTTACCATGTTCATAACAGAGATAAATAGAATCATTATTCAGCCTTTTCAGTCTTTATGGAAGGGTATACTATTAGTTCTTTGATCCAGCCTCCATTTAAATGGATGGAAATCCATTATGATTTTGTCAGATCATAATGATCTTCTGAATTTATATTTTAAGGACACATATTAGTGGATTGTGCAAATATCACATTTTATTCAACCATTCTTCAATGTATGGGCATTTCACTTGTTTCTAGTATTCCACAATTATAACTGCCACACAAATATAACAAATAACTCTTTATGCTTATTTCCATGTAGCTTAAAGTATTTCCTTGGGGTTTATTAAGTTTACAGTTAATAAACTGTGGTCAGGAGGTGGTCAGGAGGCAGAGACAGGAAGATCTCTGTTAAAGGCCACTTTGGTCTACATAGCAAGTTTCAGGACAGCCAGGGCTGCAGAGGGAAATCCTGTCTCAAAATACAATGCAATGCAATGCAGTACAATACAATACAATACAACACAGCCAGTCATAACAGTAGCACATACTTACAATGGATTACTCAGGAATTGTAATCAGGAAAACTAGGCCAACCTGGACAGTGTAGCAATGTCCTGTCATAGGTAAAGTGTTCCAATACCTACTAACAGAATCAAGAAGCAGTGACACTCTAGCAGCAGGAGCACAACTGAATGGAGCCCAGAGCTGCCTGGAGAAATGCCTCCTCCCAGTCCCAAGGTAGGGCAAAAGGAGGGAATCCTGAAACATTTCTTTGTGCCAGAAATCGGGAAGTGCCTAAAACAAATTAGGCAAATGTTATAAACAGGAGCAGACTCAAAGAGACTCCTTTTGGCTTAATCTGGAGAATTCTGAACATTAAAAACAGCAGGAGGACTGAAGAGATGACTCAGTGGATAAGAGCACTTGCTGTACACATATGATGACCTGAGTTCAAATCTCTATCTTGTAAAAAGCCAAGATGGTGCTGGTGCCTATAACCTCAATGTTCTAGGTAGGGGAGAGACAACATCATCTTTGGGCCTTGCTAACAACCAGTCTAGCCTAACTGGTAAGCTCTGGGTTTAATGAGAGACCTGTCTTGGTAGAGTAAGGCAGAAAGTGATAGAGCAGGACACTGGACGATCCTCTCTGCCCTCTATAAGCACAAATATCTGTACATATCCACATGCTCATTTAAAAAGTAAATAAGGACAACAATGAGCAGTTTCTAAGGAGTTCATGAGTCTATAATTCTTTTTTTGTTGCTGTGATACAACGCCATGACCGTACTGGCTAGTTTTATGTCATCTTGTCACAAGATAGAGTTACCCCCAAAGGAAGCAACCTTAATTGAGGTCTGGATGTAGGACATCTTCTTAATTAATGACTGATGGGGGAGGACCCAGCTCATTGTGTGTGTGGGGTCATCCTTGGTCCTAGGTAAAATAAGAAAGCCATGGGGAGCAAGCCAGTAAGCAGCACCCCTCCATGATTCTCCATTGCTCTGCATCAGCTCCTACCTCCAGGTTCTTGCTCTGTTGGAGTTCCTTAATGAAGAACAGTGAGTGCAAGAGTCAGCCAAGTAAACCCTTTTTCCTCCCCAACTTGATCTTTGGTCATGGTGTTTTCATCACAGCAATAGAAACCCTAACTAAGACAATGACCAAGGTAACTTATGAAAGGAATGGTTTATTTGGCGCTTCAGTTCTAAAGGGATAAGAGTCTGTTACCATCTAAACCAGGAAGCATGGTAGCAGCAGGCAGCATGGTAGGAACAGCTAAGATCTCTCATTTGTAACTGCAAGCATCAAGCAAGCTCTTAAAACCTGCCCTCAAAAAAACAAAACAAAACAAACAAACAAAAAAAACCTGCCCTCGGTGGCATACTTCTTCCAGCAAGGCCACATCTGGTAAACCTACCAAAACAGTGCCACCAATGGAATGCCCAAGATTATTGGGAAATATCTCATTCAAACCACCCTAGTGTTTTTCAACATATAAAAAGTGTGTGTGTGTGTTTGAAAGAGAGAGCTGGTAATTGTAAAATGTAAAATAAATTATAGCATTATTTTTAAATTTCTATTTAAAGTAATTATATGAAAGTAATTTAGACAAGAATACCAGGATTGCTCCATTAGGGGGAAAGTCCTTGAGTAACAATTGAAGACATAGTGAAAATATACTATATCCACAGTCATTTACTGAAGCTTTTTTGTAATGCCCAATCTCAAAGTGTTTACCCATAAATTACTTCACTAAAAGGGAAAATGTGTTTGACAAAAGTAACAAGTTGCTTATAATAGGTGGAGCCCATGGATCTGGCCATTAAGAGGCTGGCAGTGAGTGTGAGCAAGACAAGATTGAGAAGGTGAATGGAATGAGAAGATCTAATGGCCAAAGCGTGGGACGGGATGGGTCTGGAGGATGCTGGCCACACTGAAGTTTGGGCAGAGAGACGGAAACATTAAAAAAAAAAGCAAGACTATTTTTTAGTATTTGTTGCATTTTTCTTTTCCTTCAAATTTTCCTGTAACCTTTATGACTGGCAAAGTGTCCTGTACCACCCTGATGATGGAGCCTGATTTTACTTCATGTTTGCTGTCAGACTATATATAACTTCAGACTGTCTTTGCAACTTTGGGAAGATGTTCCATTAGACATTGAGCCAGTTACAGATTACAATGTATTTCATACTTCCTTCTAAATTAGCCTAATTTTTAAGACTCAGTTTTGCTTTGTATACGTGTCCAACAATGCAAGGGATCCTCTTTAAAATCTGACCTTATTATTTTTAAAATGAAAACTTAAAAGGTGCCTGGAGGATAATTGTGACTGCTTTAATTTGTTCAAATGTTGCTAGAGTGTATTGGAGCAGCCACAATAATGATGGTTTATGTATTTCTGTCACTAGATAATGCTTTTAAATTCTGTGTGTACGGGGGATGGTGCTGTTGATTTGTATGTTTTCTGTTGAAAATGTTGCAGTCTATAGTCTGTCACTCTCTTCAGTCTGGGGGTGGGCCAGGGTACAGAGGGTGTGACGCTGGTATTTGTGTGAACTCCAGCTGGTGATGCTGAGCTTGGTTCACCCGCTTTCTCCTCCCTTTTCCTCCCCAGTCCTTCCCACCAGCGCCACAGCAGCATCCTCAGAGTCTGAGCGAACTGCGCTCGCTCAGAGCGGGCACGGAGCCTCTTACTGCCAGCAACCTGCGGCCCTGGAGAAGACCACAAGAGCAGTGACAGCGCCTCAACACCACCATCCCACAGACCGCCATGGCCAAGAGCCGCAGGGACAGAAACAGTTGGGGTGAGTAGCAGTCGGTAACTTGTGCAGCCCTCACAGGGCCTGGCCCTCAGTTTTCTGCTGCTGGGTGCCTGCCTCTGTAGCGGGAGACTGCTCTCTACTCCGAGGAATCCCGCTGTCACCAGGGCTGAGCCTGGTGCTGGCCAGGCCTGAGGCTCCTTCCCATCCCGCGCCGGCCTCCTCCTAGCATTTGGACAGCACCCATCAGGCTCCTCTAGGGACTCTGGACTCCGCCCTAGAGATGGGTTAGAACGTCGGCAAAGAAGGTGGTCTAGGGCTGTGGTTGCGGGAGAAGAGGGGCAAAGGGTCGATCCGGAGCAAGCAGAGCCCCAACCCGCTTTCTGGGGCAAGGGCTTATTCGGATGCTGGCAGGCTCTGGGCGGGCGGTGGAACAATGAGGCAGAGCGCGCGAGCTAGGACACTGCTCTGCTCTGCGGCTCAGCAGTCTGGGAAATGGGGTACCCTCCTGAGAGTCCCTAGCACTGCACTCTTATTTCAATTTGGGGTTAGTGGAAGAATGGGGAAGAAGGCGAGTAGAGTTGGGGTTTTTAGCCTGCCGCCCAACCCGGACCTTATTCAGACTAGCCTCAAGCCTGGCTTTGTTCTTCGATTTTTACCTTGTGGGCATACTGGGTTCATGATTCAGCACCGGGCCTAAGGCACCGGGCCTAAGGAAGGGCTGGGCCCAGTGGGTTCACGCGCGAATGGGTGGGCGGTGCTCACGCAGGCAGAGCGGAGAGGAGCACAGTGATGCGGGAGAAACTGTGCCCCGCCCGCTCTGCTGTTCCAGACTAGATCTGGAAGAGTGTGGGCAGCCTGGGTGGCCTTGTCAGGTTGCCCCCCCTCCCCAATTTCTTGCAGGCACAGTGGTTAGCTCGTCAGCGTCTTACTAAAACCATATAAACACATTTTATGATTGGAAACATTGCGGATCTCAAACCACGGACAGGTGGTGTATAGAAAAACATGGTTGTTCTACTGGCTTTGCATTGTTATTGTTTTGAAAGTTCACGCCCACTAGGAGTTCAGTGCTCCTTAGTTCTCTGTCTCCAGTTCTATTTCTGTCTTACTAAGAGGATAGGTGTACCTTTTAGTTATTTGTTTCCTTTTGTCAAAAGATCATAATGCCTCCTTGCTTCCTTTGATGTGGAAGTCACAAGATTAGGTACCCCTGTGAGCAAGGCTTACATTTGCGAGAGTACCCTTGATTCTGGTTGCTGTGGGGAGGTGGAACATGCAGTCAGTAGCTGATGAAATATAAGAGAAGCAATTTCCTTTTCCCAGATCACTAAGCCAGGATTTCAGTATTGCAGGCACAGTCTTTGCTTCCTTTGAAAACTTGGTAAAGATCTCCAGTGTCCTTTTCTATTCCAATTCTTGCTCTGGAATAGGAATTTGAACACTTGTGACCATTCACAGTGAAGGTGCATGTTCAACTCAGATTTCAGTCTTGATCTCTGGATTGTATTGTTGACTCCACCCTGCTAGTAGCCAGGTGTGTGGAAATCTATTATAAGAATTCTTCTTTATTATGCTTTGGCTCGTTATTCCTCAGTATTTGGTCACAGGTTTCTTAGGTAGCCCCCACCCCCACCAATGCCATTCTCAAGTGAGACTTGCATAAGAACAAATTGGAAAATTTGAAGGTTCCCACAGCATCCAGCCAGGGGTTTTGAGTCAACAGGTCTGAAGTAGGGCCTAGAAAATTGTCATTTGACTAGTTCTGTAGGTGGCAGAGGAGCAGGTCCTCTATGATGTTACTTTGAGAAACAGTTTATGCTTGATAGAATCATCTTCCAAACAGTTTACTCCAAAGTCATCAGGACAGTATAAATGTAAGTGATAAATTAGAGGGGAAAATGCCAGAGTCATTATATGTATGCTGGAAACTCCCATTGAAAATGAACAGTGGAATTGTGGAGTGCAACCTTATGTCCTGTGAGAATGCTTCACTACTTAGGTTTTTACTTGCTGTGAAGTATGAGTAAAATAAATTATTTAGGAATTGTAGTAATACAAGGTAGACATTTTAACAAAGATTTTAGCCATTCCTACCTTCAATCCACTTTATTTACAGTGTCTGGTATAGTAGTGTGTGTCTAGCACACAGGAGGTATCTAATGATAGCAATAGAGATTTACATCATTGAAATAGCAAGGTAGACGCTATAATCTTCACTTTTTATGTTAAATGACAGGGGTGGTGAATGATAGATGGGTGTTTCCATCTGGGAGCTTGATTTCATTCTTTTATCTTAGGTCACCTCTTTGAGTAAATGGGTGACTCTGCCAGCAGTTTTGCATGACTACATTTCCGATGAAAATTCATCTGAATTATTTCATTTGGTCTTTAGCCTTTTAAATAATTGTGTTTACTATCTATTTTACAGATTTTAAAAAATGGAAGTTACTGATAGGATATTCTGTAAGTTAGAGAACTGTGTGGTTAGAAGCTAGGGTTTTCTTCTGATTTGCCTTTTATAGCATGATACTGTGGAGTATTTTTACAAATGAGTAAGTTGGGGTGTGAAATAGGGAAAACAGGTTCTCATGAGAAGCCACAAATTTCTCTTATGAGAAAATCATTTGCTGATACTTAAATAACAGTGTGGTGGTTATCGTCAGAAATGTTATAGAGGAAAAAAAAATGAGACACAGAAAATAACCCAGACTTGGGAAATGCAGTGATTCTCAAGTAAAGAACAAGAAAGGCATTTGCAAATTTGTACATAGGAGCTCAGGATGCTGTAGAACTCTGAGATGAAGACTATTTTCGCTGAGGAACACTGCCTTTTAGGTCTTTCAGAGACCAGGGAGGCTAGAGAGTAGAAACCCTTGTGCTATCCAGCTGAGTTGGAGGTGGAGTTGAGGGTCATACTTGAGACACCACTGGGAAGCCTGTGTGTGACCAGAACTGAGAATCCACCCACTGAACCTGCATCTGCGTGTAGGTAGTCTGAGTATGTGTAAGCACTTATAAGGCAACTTTCATGGGCAGGTGTTATTGTTGTTGTTTTAATAGTTGGGAAATCTGAGATTAGAGACCCTAAGAGCTTGCCAGAGATGCCATGGTTTCTGTATTCTAGAGCTAGAATTTAAGTCATAATTGGTTGTCCCCACAGTCCATTTACTGAGGTCTAGAAGCTAGAACAGATGCCAAAAGCTGTCACGAGAAGCTTATCTAGGACTAAGCTGGCAAAAGAAACCAGCGCCCTCTAAACTCAATCACTTGGCTGGAAAAGTAGAGAAAGTGCTAGTGTGGGAGGTAAAGAGGACAGATGAGTATCAGAAACAGAAGCCCAGAAAGCGGTCTTTCAGTGCTACCAGAGACACAGCGACACTGTAGACCTTCTGTTTGTTTACTTCTGTTCACTTAACTTCCTCAAAGACTTGAATACAGTGTAAGAATTTCACAACACTGACAGTACAGTAACACCGTACAAAAGTGTGTGAAATAAACTTTTAACTTGGGCTGTTTTGAAACAAAAACCATCTTAGCATCACAGTAAATATAAGAAATTTTGACTTGTATAAAAGGCATTCGTGGGAATTTTAGGTTAGGAAGATTTAGGTTTCTGGTTTTGTTTTTAAGGGGAAATTAACAGTATGGATATGATACAGTTATGAACAAAACTATGGTGAATAGGCTAATATTGAAGAAGGAAGATCTAGAAGTTATTGTTTAGCTAAGTTTGTCAACTGCATACTCGAAGCTTGGGGATGAAAGAAATCGAAATTAAAAAAATAAGGTGAATGTGAGTCATCAGATCTGAGGTTCACTAATACAACCAATAAATGAGGATTGTTTGGGGGGGGGTGCAGGGAGTAAAGTTAGAATTTGAAGTGGACCAAAGTAAAGAAGTGTGGTCTAATAAAAAAGCACAGTTTCTAGGGTCTTAGATCAGAGTCCAGGTCAAGATCCAACTCTAGGTTTTGATTTAGAAAAAGCTTTCAAAGGTGTGATGCAAGGTCATGATGTCAGTCCCACGGCCAGATTATCTCGGAGGACATAGCACTTTCTCCTATGTCTACTCAGGTGTGTCATGTTGGGAATCAGGAAACCCCTGCTGTCTTGGAGAATGTGAACTGAGTTTTGTACACCATAGAGAAAGACTGGAAAGACATACTGTTTAGGTAATTGTCATTACTGATATTGTACATGACCAGCAGTCAAAGTGTTTAAATGAGCTTCCTTTGTGTATTTTGGAAATACAGATAATGCCAAAGAAGCTGAAGAGCAGTCTGGTGAAGTGGGGTTTAATTCGGGTAGAACAGAGCTGACGTCTCTGTAGCACAAAGACCACATACCCAGCACCAGGCATTCACATGGGAGAAGTATCTGTGTTAGATCCCACTCTCAGGATTATGACAGGGTGTGACTGAGGCTATGATGACGGGGACTGCTATGAGCAGTCATATACAGGAGGAGATGGAGAAGCTGGTGGGTGAAGAGTCACTCGACAGAGTTACATAGGATGCCACATTCTTTTCACTGTAGTCATGGAGGGTACAGAGTGCATTCCAGACCATGATTCTTCTCTCTTCTGACTACTGAAGTATATAGTTGACTTTGAAACCTGCCCTAGAGCTGGCCTATTGTTAATGATCAATATTGCTTATTGTCAGCTGTTTAAAAAGTGACCATGCCTAACTCAACTACCTGAAAAAACAACTGAAGTAAAAAGGGCTTATATGGCTTATGATTTAAGAAGGGAGAAGTCGACTATGATAGAGAAGTATGGCCTCAGAAACATGATGTTATCAACAGGAAGCAGGAAGAACAGACACGAAGTAGGGTCTAGCTATAAAAAGTTACAGTCCATTCCCATTGATCCACTTCCTCCAATAAGCCTCCACCTCCTCAAAGTTCCAAATGTTATCACACAGTGCCACCAGTGAAGACCCACATGTTTAAACATGTGACCCAATGAAGGATGTTTTTCCACTGATGTCCTCATGAAACAAAATCACAAATTTCTAAATTTCTGTTAGGTTCCACATGTA